TACCCGGGCCGGCCCTGACGCAACCGCGGCTCCCGTTTGCAGCGCCCGGGGCCGCGCCGGCCGCCAGGGGGCGTGGCCCAGGGAGGGGGCGTGGCCTCTCCGCTGTCACCGGGCAGGAGAGACGCCGCGGACGTGCCCCGCGCTCCCATTGGCGGGCGCGGGGAGGGGGGCGTGGCTCAGCGCCCCGCGGCTATATAAGGGTGGGGCGCGGGTAGTGCGGGCAGAGCGGCGGCGGAGCCGGGCCCCAGTGGGTGGTGCTGTGTCCGGAGCCATGCCCGGGCTGTGGGAGCGGCTGGCGGGCGGCGAGCGGGGCCGCCTGGAGACGTCCGACTGCGAGTCTGTGGGCAGCGCCTCCGGCTCGGAGGGAGGTGAGTGCGGGCCCCTCAAGGGCCGGAGGATGGATAGATGGATGAGGGTCCCTGGGCGGAGGGGTGGAGGTGCTGTGCCAAGCCCGCAAAGCCCTGGGTCGGTGTATCCCAGAGCACCCCTGGTACAGCCCTGAACCGCTGCCATCGGTGTCTCGGGGTTCTGAGACCTCCGGCGCTGACCCGCCTTGTCCTCCCCGCAGATGCCGAGTACGCCGAGGGTGTCTCCCTGCCGGACATGGACCTGGAGCTGCTGCACGACCCCGAGGACGAGCTGCTGTGCGCCAGCCTGCTGGACGAGGTGCGGGCCGCGCTGGGCCGGGCCCCGCTGGGCTCCAAGCGCTGCTGGCGGCTCCTGATGCCGGCCCAGCTGCAGGCGCAGGTGCGGGCGGAGCTGCTGCGCCTGGCGTGCAGCGAACCCTGCGGGCTGCGCGGGGCCCTCCTGGACCTGTGCGTGGAGCACGGCAAGGCCTGCCACGACGTGGGGCACATCGCCGCCGACCCCGGCGTGGTGCCCACCTTCCAGCTCACCCTGGTGCTCCGCCTGGACTCCCGCCTGTGGCCCAAGATCCAGGGACTCTTCGCCTCGGGGCCGGCCTTCGCGCCGCTGAAGCTGAGCACGGGCTTCAGGGTGATGAAGAAGAAGCTGTACAGCTCCGAGCAGCTGCTGATCGAGGAGTGCTGAGCGGCCGCGCCGGAGGAGCCATTGCCGAGTGCTTCGGAAGAGCCGGGCAGAGCGTGGCGGCTCCTGCAGCCGCTGTAGTTTAGTTAGGCTGGAGTAGGGCGGGCTGTAGGTGGAAGTAGCTGGGGCGGGCCGAGCTCCCCATGGCCCTGCCCGAGCCGGGACATCCCTGCCGTGGAGCAGCCGGGACGTCCCGGGCGGAGGTCGCTCCCCGCCGTCGGTGATTGCGGGGTGATCCCGGCGCTCCGGAGGCGGCAGCGGGGCTGCTGGAGGGGTGCCGGTCTCCCGATGCCTGATCAATCAATCATGGGGGTTTTTTTTTTGTAAACCAGGATTGTAATCAATGGGGTCTCGGGGAGGGGAGCGCGGCGGCCGAGGGGGTCTGGATCAAAGGCCGAGCCCGGCTGGAATTGTGTCTTTGATCGGGAGAGGGGCCGGAGGGCAGGACCCTGGCCCCGGCACGCTGGGGGCGCTCCGTTGGTTACAGTTTACACTCATACACTTGATGTTCAAGTGCGACAATTCCTATGCAATCGTGTCGGGTGGTTTTTTTACTTTTCTAATAAAACTTGTCTTGATTGATAAACTGCCGTCTGTCTCGCTGTTGTCACCTCTGCTGGGGGAGGGATGATGCAACCCCTGCTCTGAAATTCCCAGCCTTTCCCTGGCAGGGCAGCCCTGCGGTGGGAGCTGGGTGTTTTGGGAATGGTGGGGAATCCCAGTGCACCCATGGGAGCCACGGGGCTGTGACTCAGGGGCTGAGTCAGGACCCCGAGCTGCTCCAGGAGCCCCCAACACCCAGCGAGGGGCTGCTCCTCCCCAGCGGCCTCATTGGGGCAGAAACCCCGGAGAACGGGCTCGAACTGGGACTGAGGAGGAGGAGGAGGGTCACACCTGCCGGGGAGGGGGAGCACGGCCCAGCCCAAACACCCTCTGCAACACCGAAGCCAATTACCCAAACCTGCAATTAGAGGCCTCGGGGAAGAGGCTTTCACTCAAGGGTAATTGAGCTGCTTGGCAAACGAGGAGCCCGTGGAAGGTGAGGGGGGATAAAACCAGCCTGAAAAGCCATTTCCATTCACATGCGAGCTCCTCCTGGCTCAGCCTTGGGTTGGTTTTTGTTTGGATTTTTATTTTTAATAGCCCTGCAGACAAACTCTATCACTGTGGACAGACAAACAGTGACTTTTTGATGAGCATTTTAACCATAAAAACCTTGTTTTTGATATGAATGACCCATAACTGGAGTTTTGGAGCAGAGATTGCTCACTGGTGTAAATATCACCTCACAGCAGTCAGGGCAACGAGCAGAGCCAGGCCCACACAGCTGGGAACGCACCTTTACACAGACATACACCTGTGCAAAGAGGGGAGGATTTCCCCTGAAATGTTGGGGTTTGGAGCATTTCTCAAAGGATCACATGCTAGAGCGTGCCCCCTTCACGTGAGGGGCAGCCCCTGTGGGGTCACCCAGCACAGAGCCACCCCTGGGGACACGGAGAGGGGCGGAAAGGGAGCTCCAAAGCCGCAGTTCCTGGGGCAGCCCGGGCCGGAGGCAGCGCCCATCCCAGGGAGGGCACAGCAGGAGATTGGCAGCACAGCCAGCCCGGCCCCTGGCTCTGGCAGTGAATTTACAGCTCCAGAAACACGGGCAGTTTTAAACACCCAGCTCCTAAAGGGGTGGCCCTGCCCCTGTGCTGCCACAGCAGCGTGACCCTGCTTGTCACCCCCACCAACCACTCTCAGGGAAGGCGAAGGGCTCCGCATCCAATTTTTTATATGATCACACCAAGAAAACAAAAAGAAAACCCCACCAAAACTCCCAAAAGTCAACACAGCCTCTGTCCTGCGGGTGCCCACCAAAACATTCTGTGTGGCACCACCCAGTCACAGCCCCAGCTATGAAGGTGAAACTTTGCTTTTATTTATAGCAAAATGGCCTTTCCCTGACAAATTTGGGGGAGCCTCAAGGTCCCTGGGGTTTGGCAGCTCCCTGGGAGGTGCAGAAGCTTCCAGCGAGGCTGGATCAGATGTCTCCCACGGCAGGGGTTACACAGAGGGATATTTTGGGACCTGGGAAGAGTTGGGCTATTTGTGGCACCAGCATCAGCCCAGGGATCCCAGGTGGCAGCAGAGGAAAGGGAGAGTTTTGGGGGCATCAGCAGCAATAATGCAAGTGAGGGTTTAAATCCCAGGATAGTGCTAAACCCTCGTGGTTTTGCTACCAAAAACAGTGATGGGGGAAGAGGGGTCTCCTTGGCTCCCCACCTGCCAGAGGAGGATGTTCCTGGAGCACCTGCCTGCCTTTGATGCCTCCCTGCCTTTGGCAGCCGCTCCAATTAAAAGCTTGGGCTAACGAGCTAATGGGCAGCTCAAACCACCCACACCTTTGGTGAGTGGGCAGGGACCAGCACACCCTGAAATTCAAGAGTGTCTCCCATTGCTCCGGGCTGGGAATGACCCAAAATGCAGCAAAACCTCCCCAAAACCTGGGCTGTGTGCCCTGTGCCAGCAGGGCTGACTCACCACAGAGGGGAAATGGCAGGGATGTGACCCTCGGCCTCTGAGAGCAGGGGAAAAAAGGGAAAGGGGAGAAATTCCCACTCTTGCCTCTGAGAGAAGGAGGAAAAAGGAGAAATTCCCACCCAGAGCTTCCAGCACTTTGGTGTACCAAAAGTACTTCCACTGCTTCCTCCACTGGGGGGGGAAAAGAGACCCATCCCAAATCACACCAAGGCTCTGGGGCCAGCAGATTCCAGCCCCTGCCAGCAGGAAGGGCACCCAAGGCAGTGGCTCTGCCTGGAACAAAGGCAGCCCAGAGTGTTCCTGCCCACCTGATGGCGATGGTGCCCACAGGGCTCCTCCCAGTGCCAGGATAAAGCTGCCAGGTGGCATCCTATGGCGAGAATAAGGCTCAGCCAGAGGATGAGGGGCCATTGGGAGGAAGGCCCGTCTGGGAACACCCCAGCAGAACGGGTCTGAAGCAAAGGTGCCCTGCTGGGTGTTCACTATCACTGTGCCAGGGGCACCACGTCCTCTCCATCCCCTCCCTGTCCTTCCCTCTGCAGCCCCCACAGGACCATGGGATGGCAAAGACCCCAAATTCCATCCACCACCGAGGAGCTGCAAAACCAGAGCTGGCTGGAGCAGGGAATCCACAGGACACCAACCCAGCTGGAGCCTTTCACATTATAAACATTTATTTATAGATGTACAATTGTATAATTAACTAAATCAAGAGATACAGCCTCTGTGAGCATCCACTGGGAGCGATGCCTTCTCCCTCCTTGTGATCCGTGGGCATCTACCAGGAAAAAGAACCTGAAGGTTTTGGCAGGCAGGGAATGGCACTGGGCAACACATCCAGCTCCTTCTGTGAGCAGGATTTTGGTTTAACCCCGTCCCCATCATCCCTGTGCCTCTATCGAGCGCCATTTCCAATCCTGAACGTCCACCCTATTTCTTCTGAAGGTGGAGGAACCATTAAAAAAGAAAGAAATAATAACACCTCTTAAAATCAGGTCCAAGCCATGGTGGCTGTGGGATAACAGGGCCTGCAGCCAACGGGAGGCTGAGATTTAGCAAAATAAATAAACAGCCAAGACAGAGCGCATGGATTCCTAAGGACAACGGGATAAAACCTCCTCTGCCAGCCCACCCGGGAGCTGCTGTGCTCCCAGCTCACTCCCCTGACTGTGCCAGGGGATGGTTTGCACTGGAAATGTCTTTAGACACAAATGAGCTGCAGAGCAGCAAAAAAAAAAAAAAAAACAAACCCCAAAATTTAAATAATCAATCCAGTTTATTCCATGGGAGGTGGCTCTGCTCGTGCTGGCTTCGCTTCCAAGAGATGGCTCCTCACCTGGGGCAGCTCACGCTGGTCCTGCCCGTGGTGGGGCAGGCACAGGGCAGATCAGACACCCTGATCTCCCCCAGCAGAACTTCTTCCAGCAGAATGCTTTGTTCCTTATGGATCTGTGGCCTTTCCAGGTGTCCTGCAGGAAACACGAGGTGGGTGTGAGGGCAGGGCCGGCTGCACCCGCCTGGAGGGATGAGCACAAAACCTCCCAACAAAGGGCTGTTGGAAAGCCCTCTCTGCCCGGAGCACGCTGATTACCAGGCACAATTCCAGCAGACTCGGCAGAAAAAGGAGTTACATGCACAAATCAACCAAAGACTGACGAGCAAAATCCATCCAGGACAATCCTTCCCCCGGCGAGCGGCTCAGCTGACCCCGGCTCCGCCGACGCTGCAGATCCACGGCTCTGCACGGGCTCCCCCTTCTCTGGGAGCCCTGCACCTTTGGGGTTTGCTGGGATCAGAACCCCAAGAGCAGGTGTATGCATGTCCCCATCCACACAATGTCCTCCCAGGAGCAAAGGACAGCAGCTGCAAAGGGATTCCTGTTTGCCAGGCAGGAAAGTGCTGTGGACAGAGACACGCTGGGAGGAGGCTTCCTGCTGCCCTGCTCCCCAAAATGGGCAGAAACCAAAATAATTTAATCATCCAACCCCTGCATAGTTTAAAAGTACAACATATATACAGCTATAAATTAATGCTAAATAGATCATATTTTCTTTTTCTTTAGTGTCTTCTTTTATCAACAAATCCCACTTCTCTCTCCATTGGCAGCAGCGAAGGGTCTCCTGCTTCAGGCTTCTGCAGTTAGTTTGGGTTATTTTACAGTCTGTGTGTCTGTTCCAGGGGCTGTGGGATCCTTGTGGGATCCTGGGAGCACGCCAGCAGCGTCGGGAGGGGAGGAGGAAGACAGAGAGCTGGATTTCCTGTCCCAAGCGCTGCCTGCCATCGCCAGAGAGAGGCAAAGAGAAGAAAGAGGGGCAGTTGTGCGTTGCTAATTCTCCAATTCCATGTTTAATATAAGGTTTGATTCTTTTTAAAGAGCAAAGTCTGTCACCTCGGCTCAGTGCACTTCCCCAAAGTCTTCGGGCGTTTGGACGCTCTGGGAACAAAAGCGGCAGCGGTGTCAGTCTCAGGCCAGTCTGGGACTCCCCCTCGCTTCCCACCCCACAGCACAGGCAGCAGCTTTTCCAGGCTCCTTCCAGACCATGGGTGCAGGGAGGGAGTTAAAGAAAAGCAGGTAATTAACACCAGAAGAGGCGCAGTCATCCAAAGGAGAGAGCGGGAGGATCAAGGTAGGAACGGATCCAAAACCGGGATACACCCAAGGAAAAGCCCAATGTACCCCAGAGGATTTGCTTTAAAGGCCAAACTTTCAGATGCTGAGGAAAACAACCCCCAAAAGTGCAAATCAAGCAGCTCAGCAGCCAGCATCCTCAAGGAGTCCCTGTGAGCTGGAACGGTGTCCACACAACACCTGGAACAAGCTTCACCCAGGAGTTTTTCTATAGAAATCCTGTGCTCGGACAATTCTGGGGATCTGCACACTTCACAGGCAGCCCAGCAGTACCTGGTAGGTGAAATCAGCCCAAAAATTTATGCAGAAAAAGGACTCCAAACCCCGTGGCAATTTTTTTTCATTATTTTGGTGCAGTTCTCCCAGCACATCTGATCTCACATGTGTTATCCAGGCTCTCCTTAATCCAAGCTCTCCAACCCCCAAATCTTCCAGACCTCCCTCCCAGCTGCTCTTACTTTGATTGCCAGTTTAACCCAGTAAGTTACTTCTACAACCTGCTGGGAACATTTGCTTTGTTCTCCTTGAATGGGAAGGCAACAGGAGGGGGGACAAGGAACATCTGTTGGGTGGGACTCCATTCCCTGTCACGTGCCAGGGCCAACAGCTTTCCCAGCAAAACAGACAACAAAGCAACCAAAACCAAGGGCACATTAAAATGTGGGGGCTGGATGCCACAGCACCTAAGGAACTCCCAACCTCACCAAGGGATTGTGCCCTGCTTCTAGAGGCCAGAGAAAAGAGGGAGCCTGGAGAGAGCCGGGGGTGCCGACATGCAAACGAAACCCAATCGATTGTCGGAGGGGAGGCTGCGGTGTGCGCCCCGAGGACACTCCTGGAGGGCTGTGTCTCACTCAGGGCTCTCAGTGACCAAAGCACTGGGGTTTCCCGCTCCCAGCTCGTACTTGGGCTGGCACTATCCGTGCAGGGAGGCCTGGACGTCTGACAGTCTGCTACAGCTGGGGGTGCCCATCTTCTGTGCCCGCTGGTACAGGTCCGAGTCCCCGAAGTAGCGTGCCCGGTACAACAAGCCTTCCTCTGCAAAGGGAAAAGCTCAGAGTCAGGAATGCCCTCTGGAAGGGACTCCCCTGCCAGGCCCTGCTGGGAACAGGAGGCACCTCCAGCTGTCCAAGGTGGAGCAAAGGGTGAGGATGAGGATGAGGAAATGCCCTGCGCCCTTTGGGACAGGATGGGCGTAAGAGCTGCTGACAGCTCATCCATCCTGGGAAAAGCCAGGAGAGCCCAGCTCCAGTCCCAGGACATGCAGGGGCAGCCCACACAAAGGTTACCCCAGCAGGGCTCTGTGAGTTTGGCACCGCCCAGGGATGATCACAGCCCCTCTGGCATTCCAGAGCTGCAATCCTACCCCAGCCACTGCTCCCAGAGCCGTGACCACCACAGCAGCCAGAGCACACAGGCTGCCCCTGGACTCGCTGCCCTCACCACCCTCTGCTGCCAAGATGTCTGGCTGGATCAGCTGCCTGGGCAGCCCCCTGGGAGCAGGGGTGGGATGTGGGACCACGACACCATGGGCAGCAGACTTTCCAGCACCGTCCTTGAACAGCTGAAATATGACACGGGGCTAGCAGGGATCCCAGAGGTTCTACCTTCCCCCTGCACTGGAAATCAGAGGTATCCTGCTGACACAGCAGGGGAACCTCTGGGGCACAGCTCCTGTCTGACCAGTTCTGCAGCAGCATTAAAAAGCAAAACAAAACAAAAAAACCCCCACATACCGGGCCTGTCATGAAGTCACAGACTGGAAAAAACAAAGTCAACGACACAGGAAATGTGCTGGCACCGTGTTAAAGTATAACTTCAGCACGACTTAGTCCTCAGTCAAAGACATTCCAAAGGCAGCCCATGGACCCCTCACTACTCACTCTGCTGCTTCTCCCTCCAGCAGTTGTTCCTAAGGTTTGCTATGTAGTCGTCCTCCACGCTCCGCTCCACGTTCTTCAGGTTCGTGCCCGTGTACTCCTCGGCAAAGCTCTCGGACACGTAGTAGGGGACTTTCAAGTGCTCTGTGACCCTCCTGTGTGTGTGACCCACAGACCTGGTGCAGGGACAAGAGCACAACAGTTTCAAGGGCACAGCAAAGCCCCCAGCTCGGGTGATGTGATTCCAAACAGCAGGAAACATCCCTCACCCCTATCCAGCCACTGGCTTGGAGGGTGGAAGGGAGCAGCATTTCTGGTGGAAACCAACCACCAGCACAGGGAGAGAGAAGCTGCCAGGCCTCCAGCTAGGTGGGCAGAGCTCTGAATACACACATAACTCCAAGACACATTGCCCATTAATTAAAATAAAATGTTCCTTGGAATTTTCATTAAATCATGAAATTTGTGATTTCCTCCATTTGTAAGACGGGACGCGCTCTGTGCCCCAGCCTGCATCAACCAGCACAGAAAGCACTTTCCAGAAGGAAATCTCCTCCTCCCCTGGCCCAGTGGATTTGCATTTCAGACAAAGCCCTGCTCTGCTTCCCCTGACAGCCCAGCAAACCTAGAGACCCTCCCTAGGGCGTGTGTGTGAGCTGTAACACAGGAGCTGGGCCCAAACGCTGGATTTGCCAGGACAGCTCCACCTGGAGACGTGCCCAAAGTTCCTGTGATAAATACCAGCTGCTGCTGCTGCTGCACTGGGAGCAGCCTGGTTCTTGAGGCAGCTCTAAACATGAACTCATCCAGCCCAGCCTTCAGTCTGTATCAGAGGATACAGGCGGGATCCCAGGGCTCCTGCACGTTTCCCCAAGGCCCAGTGCTGGGTAACTGAAGGGACTGAACAGGAGCACAGAGCTCTGCTGGGATTTCTCAAGGCAGAGGTGCAGCCTGGAAAAAGCCAAGTTCACTATTTTCCCTGCCAAGACAGAGCCCTGAGCTCTCCCAAAGCTCATATTCCTCTCCTGGATAAAGATGGACTACAGAGTGTGCCCTCACAGGAGGACTGGGAATGGCAGGGCTGCAGCAGCACACTGGGGTGTGAAGCAGGAAAATCAGGGCACAGAAACCTGTCACCTGCAGTCAGACATGCAATTAACTCAGGCCAATTCCATGGGGTGTTACTGAGCAGTAACAATCAGGCCCACAGCCAGGCAGCTCTTCCAGCAGGAAGATCCTTTTGGGAAGGGATTTACAAAGGTGACAGTGGTTTTTCAGGACTCTGCCCTCCTCAGTGACACCTCCGCTATGGAGGAGTGGCATTTAAATCTGCGGGGTCAAAGCTTCTGCTGCCCTGCTCCTGAGCTGAGGCACAGCTTTCCCTTCCCAGTGAGCGATGCAGCAGCTCCTCCTGCCGGCCCTGCAGCACCTCAAACCAGCTCAAACACCCTCCCTGCTCGGGAAGCCTCTGGCAAGGCTGCAGGAGCTCACTTCCCACCCCTGTCCAAATCCAGCCTTGGAAATCGGGCTGCTTGCTGCTACCTGAGTGTGCAGAGACAGGGACAGCACAGGGAACAGGGATGGGGCAGCAGAGAAACATCTGGGGCTCAGGGATGGCTTCTTCTGGCAGCTGGCAAGGCTGGAAGCAAATCCCTGCCCATTTAAATGCTCCCTCCCTTCTGTGTCTTCTCACCCCACAGACTCTTCACCAGTATAAACCAAACTGGTGAACGTGGACAGTGCTTAGCTTTACAATGCTAATGCCAGCTGGGGAAGTCACAGATCAACACCCTTCACCCTCTCAGAATAACCCTTAACTGTGCCAAAACCATCCCACCTTTTGGTCCCAAGCACCAATGTCAGTCTTTGCTCTGAATCTCAAAGCTAAGCTGGGTTTTGCAGTATTTAACACCATGCCCCTCCCCTGGAATTGCTCAAGGCCAGGTTAGATGGGGCTTGGAGCAGCCTGGGCTTGTGGGAGGTGTCCATGGCCATGGCAGGGGGTGGAACAAGGTAACTTAAAGGTTCCTTCCAATCCAAAGCCCTCTGGGATTCTGTGATCAATGGCAAACATTGCTACCTGTGAAAACAGGCAGGGACACCAGGCTGGAACCAGGTCTGCCCTCTCTAAATGCACATAAGAGCTCACACTGAACGAGCACCAAGCCTTTGCCAGGAATGATGCAAGCAGCAGAAATCAAGCCTGTTTCCCCACTCTTTGTTAGCACTGCACAGTGACTAAGAATGAGGACACGTTCCATTAGTCACCAGAGGGAGCAGATGGGGGCATTTCCACAGGACCTAGAACAGAGCAGTTTCACTTTCACATCCCCAGTGTCTGGCCAAAGCTGTTTCATGGCAAGATGAGAGTTCAGAAACAGGGGATTTCTCTGGGAGTGACTTTTATTCCTTATCCTCTTCCTCTATTGTGCTGCGCTAAGGCTTTCATGGAGAACATGGCTTTTGTTTTTCACACTCTGCACCTCAGTTTGTTCCATATGGGATCTCAGTGCTGGGCTGCAGCCTCCCCAAACCATTTTATCCCTTTCCATGACAGACACAGCTGTGGGTATGGACTGCAGAAGGTCCCTGGCAAGGAACTCTCTCCATCAGGGCAGTGAGCACCCTCCAACTCACCCTGCACCTTGTATCTCACACCTGTGTGAGAACCACAAAGACTTCTCTGGCAGCAGGAGCCATGGGGTCAGGGGATAAAGCAAAGAAACCCAAAGGAAGAACAGAGGCAAGATCCCTGTCCCACCACACCCCCCCAGAGCCCACCCCCTCCCCATGTGGGTAAGGTTTAGAGGAAAGGGTACGAACAGCCTGTGGCTCAAACTGTAGGGTGGGCTGGAGACCATCATCTGGCTGAGAGCTGACACGATGATGAGGATGAGGATGGGCATCAGCTGGACAAACAGCCCAAGGCCACCCTGAGGAAACACAAACACACAGTGCAGTGCCACCCACCCAGCTGGACAAGGATCCCATGGCACCTCCCTCCCTCCTTCCCTCCCTCCCAGTGCTCCAACACAACCTCCTCTCTCCTGCTTTGCACAGGGAGTAACCCAAACCACAGGACAGTGTGACTCTGAAGGTCCTTCTCTGGATGTGACAATGGGATGTGACAGGGGGAGCCCTGGCAGGGAATTCCAAATGCCTCATACCCACAGCTCATTTTTCTAGAGCAAACCAGTGAGCAGGACTGGTTTTATGGATGGCTTCTCCCCTTTTCAGGGCTGGACAGATGAAGGTAATTCCCCCTCTCCCTCACCTCCCTCACCCCCCTTCAGTTCCACCTTCAAGCTTGAGATAAAAACATTCAGGAAGTTCCTGTTTGTTTTTTTACAATAAAATTCCTCTGCCCAGACAACAGCCATAATAACCCTGGCTCCAGCTTTCTGTTTGGGAGGGTGGCAACAAGCAGGGCTGCTCACAAGCCGGGCCCAGGAACCAGCTCCCAGTGCTGTGCTGGGAAAACCCGCAGCCCCCCAGCCCCCAGGTGTTTTCCACTTACATCCCCCTGGTGCTCCCTCCTGTCCTGCCTCTGGTGGTAGGTGTACCTCATCCTGCCATTGCTGTACACGTGCACATTGCCTGCAGGGAGAAGAAAACTCTTACCCCAAAGTCACAGTGCGGAGTGGAGAGTGCTGCTGCCTGGCCAGGGAGTGACCATGAAAGATGAACATGATCCATGTTTCACCTGCTTCCAGGCTGAAACAGGACATTCCTGAGGGGGTTTGAGTGCAGGGTGGGCAAAGAGCTCCTTCTGTAAGATTCTGCAGGATTGTATGAAAACTCAGCTTGGAAGTGACCTCAGGAAGTTCAACCTCCTGCCCAGAGCAGGGTCAGCCACAGAGAGAGAACAGCCTGCACAGGCCTTCTCCCGTCTGATGGAATAGATTAAAACCAGTCACAAACAGAAATCATTCTGAGCTCTTCCCCACCCTGCCAACAAAGCTCTTCCATGTCCTGTTTTAAATGTCAAAGCTACAGCTGCAAAGGTTTCCAGGCTGAGAGAGCAGCCCTCAATTCTCTCGGGACAGCGAGGAAAGGGAAAAAGAGACTGAGCTGAAATAGCAACATGCTGTTTTTGCAGGAGCAGCTTCTTGGCCTCTGTGCCAGGCACAGCACAAATGCTGCAAAAAGCTTCCAGATGCTTTTGAGCTGCTGGTGTTGGGGTGTTAGTGCTCAGATTCCAGGTAGGAAAGAGCTACCAGAGTGAATTTTCTTAACTGAAACCAAATTTTTTTTTCCAAGTTGGTCCACAGAGGTCAAGAAGCCCTTTGTCCACTTCCAGTCAGACCTGAGTGGAACAAACACAAAGGAGTCTTCCAAAATACCCTTCTCCTGACATGGAATCTGTGTCTGTTGAGCAAGTAAAGGAACAGATTCTTTCCTGCTCCCCAAGCCATGGTCAGCACTGTGGACAGACAGGATGCAGACTTATTTTTCAATTCACAAGGTCTAAGTTATGCTGTAGAAGTATTGTTTTCCTTTTTTTTATGGGGCACAGGGGAGAGAAGGAAGTGACCACTGATCTTGGAGAACCTGTTTAGCTACGCGGTGAAGCAGAGATCAAGAACAAGGCCCAGGTGTTACCACAGTTTGCTCTGATAAGAAGATTTAAATTCCAAAACCACCAGGCAGAAAAGCCTTCCTCAAAACAGGATTATTTCCCCAACAACCCTTAAAACAAGTCCCTTTTTGTTCTAGCATTCAACCCAACCTAACAGCAGCTGATGCTGCCAGCATGCAAGCAAACACCTGAGGCTGGGAAGGAGTCCAGCTCTGATGGCTGCTGAGCCCTCCAAGGATGAACCACTCAAGAAACTCAAGGCCACACGTGAGGGAGAACTCCCCCTCACCGAACCCAGCGCAGCCTCAAGAGCCCCGGCTGCACCGAAAGGAGGAGAAGGAACACAAGACTGAAGGTGCTTACTGGAAGGGAAGCCCCCCCCAAAGAACATGTTGAAGAGGTCCTCGGGGGAGATGTCGGCCTCGAAGCCGCGGTGGAAGTCGGCGTGGCCGTGGCCGTGGCGGGCGGCGCTGAGCTTCTCGTCCCCGAACTGGTCGTACTGCTTCCTCTTCTCGGGGCTGCTCAGCACGGCGTACGCGTTCCCGATGGCTGCGGCACACAGGGCAACAATCAGCTCAGCCAGCTCCCCCCTGCCCTGCAGCCCTGCACGGTGCCAGCACCTGCCTTTGTCATCGGGCAAAGCCACAGGCTCGGCTGCCCCTGCGCCTTTGCAACGGGCGCCCGGGCAAATCCAGGCAGGAGGAAACCACACAGGGAAAAATACCTCAATTCATACAAATGATAAGGGTTTGGTGCATGTCCCCAGAGAAACCCTTCAGCTGTGTAGGGAAATCAAATTTTAGTTGACAAATTTTATTCAAAAGCGGCATTAAGGGAATTTATTGTCAGAGCCTACAACTAGAACTGCCAAGTGTCGCAGACACCTTTTCATGAAAATCCTTTCCTAAAGATTTTTTCCTCCTGAGAAGCTAAGGAGCCTCAAGAACAAAATGTAAACAATAGTTATCTGCTGCTGTAGAATGCAACAAGTAGATCTTTGATTGGCCCATCTTAGATGTTTATAATTAATGGCCAATCACAGCCCAGCTGGCTCAGACAGATAGTCTGAGACGGCTGCCTTTGTTATCATTCCTTCCTATCCTATTCTTAGCCAGCCTTCTGAGATGAAACCTTTTCTTCTATTCTTTTAGTATAGTTTTAATGTAATATACACCATAAAATATTAACTCAAGCCTTCTGAAATATAAAGTCAGATCTCTGTCTCTTCCCTCACCCTAAGACCCCTGTGAACACCATCAAAGCAAAGAATTTAAATACATGCTAAATCCCTGAAAGAGACTTTGAAACTTTCCATAAAAGCTGATAAGGAAACATTAGCCAGAAGTTGCATCCATCAGCTAAGAGTTTCAGCACTTGCAGATGCCACATGCAAGGTGCATAATTACAAGGACTGTTAACCAGTGCCTGAAGCTGGGAATGTACTGGAACTAAACCCCTGCCAGGTCTCTGGTCCCTCTCCTTCCAGCCTCAGGAGTTTGAGCCCCTTTCCCAGAATGTCTGCCTGCCACCCTCCTGTTTCTGTACTCACCTCTCTGCACATTCCAGCTTCCCTCGGTACCAAGCCACCCCAGGCCTGCCTGTGTCACAAGGACCCAAAATGCCCACAGCAGCAGGTGCCTGGTGTGTAAAGGCAGGGGCAGAAGGGATGGAAAAGGGGGAAAAGGGGGATGATGGGCCCATTTGGAGGAGATCAGCTCCAAGATTCAGCATTTCCCCGTGGTCAGATGGAGGTGTACGGTTACTTCTTGGAGTGGAGATTTGGAGGGCAGAGGATGTAATGTCAATACACTCCTTCTCCTTCTTGGTTATAATTAGTGCACCCAGAGCAAACATTTCTAGAGCCAGGCAGGGAAGCTGCTGGACAAGGAGTGACTCAGAGTGCATCAACCACACAGCTGGGAAGAACAAGGGAAGCAATGACAACGGAGCGGTTCAGGGTTTCTTCACTATCTGACTTTGTGCTGACAAAGCCCATGAAATGCCTCATTCCAAGGCAGGATTTTAGCTCCAAGTAGCCAGGCTGAAGGCTTTTCCCAGGAGCAGACAGGCAGTGATGCAGATCTGCCACGAGGCAGCCTGCAGCCAGCTGGAACTGTATCCTGAGGCACGGGCTCAGCACCTTATCAGCGTCACCGGGAAGGCAAATGCCAAGGCTTCAGCTGATCCATCAACATAAGGAAAAATTAACTCATATCCTCACAGCAGGGCACGTTTCCCCCTTCACCCTCTGGAAGCAAGCAGCTGGACTTCAGCTCAGCCCAGGGGCTGAAGGACAGGAAGCCAGGGAGGCAAGGCCTGGAGGAGATAACCCTGCAGCGGGGGATAAAGGGCACTTTGCTTAACGCTCCACTTCTGGCACGTAGCTCCTGCCAAAGCCTTGGGCAAACATCATTATTCAAGATTACAGGTGAGGAAACCTGCCTTTGGCCACTAAGGGATCCAAGGATGAGCTGTGCAGCAGCAGCTCTGCACAGGCACAGCTGAGAGCTGTGTGCAGATGCCCTTCCATCGGCCCCCACGCCAGCAGGGGCTCTCCCAGGTAGCTGGGGCTCAGTCACTATTTGCTAACTCTTATCAGGGAAGGACTTAAGTCTTAAAAGGCTTGAACAAACCTTACCCAAGACTTTTACTGCTGAATTTGCGTCTGTGAGGAGCTCACCTGGATACTGTACCAGTGCACTGACATCAGGCCAGCCCTGCTCCCTGCTCCAGCACAGGGCTCATGCATTTCACTCCCAAAATCTGGCTGCTCTGGGGTGGAAGGTGCCTTGGACAGAGACACCTTCCAATATCCCAGATTGCTCCAAGCCCTGTCCAACCTGGCCTAGAAAACTTCCAGAGAATCCAGGGGCAGCCACAGCCCCTCTGGGCAGCCTGTACCAGAGCCTTAGCACTGTCTTGAGTAGAGAATTTATTTCTAAAAAGTGGCCAGAATCAGATTATTTTAATGGCTTCCAAACCAGTGCTGTATGACTGGCACCAAGGTGTTCTGTGTTTAGCTCAATGACAATAATCAAACTTCCACAGCTTGCAGGGGAAAATGGGATTATATGTTCCAAGCCACAGCATCTCTCTTGGAAAATTTCTCCAGTCTTAAGGTGTCTCATTACCCAAGAGACATCCCTGTTGTATTTACAGAGAGGCTCTGAGAATTGGGCTCCTTGCAGCACAACCAGAGCTCCTTTTCTGAGTTCTGGCTGGGCTCACTTGTATGGCTGCTGCAGCTCCACCCTAGAAACTTCCACTTGGGATTTGTATCCACCAGTACCATCCACAAATAGTTGGGTGCTTCCTGAAATGTTTTTCCTGAAGGGTTTGTGAGCCCTGAGTCTGCCTCTGGTGTAACTGGGTTAATCCTGACAGAATTCCCTCCTGAGCAGTGAGACAGGAGCTTGGAATAACACACAGGGAAGGGAAGGGAAGGGAAGGGAAGGGAAGGGAAGGGAAGGGAAGGGAAGGGCTGCTGGGGAAAGAGAAGGAAGGCTCCTCCTTACCCAGCCAACAGAGGTGAGTCCTACCTTGCCAAGCTGTGTTTATTATTTTAAGCTCATACTTTGGTCATGACATGAGCAGCTCTGAAGGGAGGCAGCTTCACAAAGAGCAGCTTTGTGTCACTGCCTGACTTGTGGGGCTGTTTTTAAGGGTTCCCTCAGTGAGAGCTGGAGGCAAAGCACAAATGTGGAGCTGCCTTTACCTTTGAATGCCTCTGTGGCCCCTGGTGCGTGGTTCTTGTCCGGGTGGAACTTCAGGGCCAGTTTCCTGTAGGCCTTTTTCAGATCCTCATCAGAAGCTTCTCTGCTGACTCCCAGAATTTCATAGTAATCTTTGCACTGCTTTACCCTGCCAGGGGAGAGGGGAGCAAGCACTGAGTTCCAGGAATAAAAACCTCTTTGTCTTGGATACCTGTCAGCTCTGAGCCTCCTCAGGCAGCAGTTTCAGGGTGCTGCTCAGGGATCTGTGCATTACTCAGCCCCTGCTCTCAGAGGGTGACCCAGCACAGAACGAGTTGGGCCAGTGCAGGAGGAAGGGCCTCCCTCAGACCCACACAGGAACGTGACTGGCAAATAAACTTCACATTCATCATGTGCCTGTGCTGGAGGCTGCTTGGGAAGGACTGCAGCACCTGAAGGATATTGGCCTTTCCCTCCCACCTCAGCTAATTCCCAGATGTAAGACTTGCATCAGCTGAATTGCAGAGAAGGAAGGAGGGAGCAGCCCAGGGTGGGCAGCCCATCCTGCCTGGGCACACTCAGCCCAGCCAAGGCTTCTGCTGCTCACATGGTGAGACAGAATCCAGCATATGGGTTTTTGGAGAAGTGGATGATGTAACAAACATTCCTGCAAGTCCCTTGAAGTGGTTCTTGCACAATTCAGGCCGTGCCCATAACCTTAAACAAAGTTTACCAAGTGACTGCACCTGCAGCTCAGTCCTTCAGCTGCCAGGATGGGCAAATGGGACAAAGGAATAAAGGGAAGCCTGAAACAGGGCTTGGAAAATGAGCAGACCCCATTAATCCTCCTGGGCATGCTCTTAACACTATTCCAAGTGGTTCAAATCTGAAATCTTTAAAATACTGTGAAAAGCAGACGGGTACCATGTGATAGAGCCAAGCAAATGCCCCAGAGAGCTGTGCACAAACCTCTTCACTGCATCCAGCTGGTCCTGAGTGTAGCCCTTGGGGGCCTCCCCCCCAGCCTCTCCGTTGGCTGATGGGAAATCTCCACTCATTTTCCTGAACTGAGGGTTGGTGGATTCCCTGGGCTGGGACTGCCCATTGGCTGACTGCTCCTTCTTGTTGAGTGACTCAAGCAGAACTGAAAGGAGAGAAACAAAAACATAGAGAGCAAAGCACCAAGCTCAGCCTGCCTTTCCAGCTCTCCCATGGAGAGACTCCTCCTCATCTCTGCCACCTTCCCAAGGCCCCCCCAGCCTTCCCCCTCACCTTTCCTGCCAGGTAATCTCTCAGCTCCTGCTGCTTCTCACCCAGGTGTGGGGGCCACTCCTGAAGATGTTCTGCTGCTCCCAACACACACAACCCCAGCACCACCCAGACAGACAGTCCAGGAGCCACAGCAGATCAGCAAAGCAGTGTCTCCCTGTCCTTTTTCCCCTTCCATCTGTCCTTGACAGCAAAGCATGTCCAAATGTGTCTTCTAGCACATTATAAAGTGTATTATTCTTCTTTATCTCCTGCTTTTCAGAGCCTACAGTGCTGGGGAAGTGATGTGACGATGCCATATCTTTAGAGAGCTTAGAAAACAACTCTGCGGGCTGCCAATCCCACGGGGACACTCCCCTTCTGGGGACAGAGCTGCAGCACTGCTGGCTGCCAGCTCCTCACTCAGGTGCTTTGTTCTCCTGTCACTGCCTGGGGGCTGGGAGCAGCTGTGAAACCCATCCTGCCTCAGTTACTGGGGGGACAAATTCACCTTCCCCTTCCTCCTCCTCCTTGCAAGGCTCAGGCACTGTTTTCCATCCTCTCCAACATGCAGGCCTGGCCCAACCACCCAGGTGACACAATGGAGGGAGGCTCCAAGCATCCCTCCATCGTGCAGCTGCACAGCACCATCCTTTAAAACTGCTTTTTGAACCAACATCAGACTGATTTCTTCACCCCCACTCAAAAGAACAGGCACACATGCTGCAGTGAAACCCAGGCAGGGATATTTACACAGCCCCAGCGTCCTGAGCTTGCAGTCCTTTATCCAGACCCCAGAACTGGGGGGGATGTTCCACCTCCTCCCATGGACTGCACAGCACAGACCTTGCACTGTGGGGCATCACCTTCTTCAGGCAAGTGCAAACAACACTGGCAGGCCAGGAGATGAGCCAAGATATCCTATCTGGGCCCAGTGCTCAGAGGGGGCAGGAAAATCCACTCAGGAATCCAAAAGCCAATAGAGGATGGGGGATGCCAAGGACAGTGGGCTAGGGAGCAGTAACTGGATGAGCTTTTGGGCTTGGGACCTACACAAATTTAAAATTAATTTATTTTAGACAAGTAAATTTTTCCCTCACTCATATTTCCGGTGCTTCAGCGCTCATTGAATGATAATCTTTGGTTCTGCTCCTTCCCAACCTGGAGCAATCTCCAGGTGATTTTAAATTTCCCCTCACAAGGCTGTTCCCCACCTACCTCCTTCCTGCTGCTTTGGGCTTCATTCCCTACAGCTTGCCAGGAGATTCTGATCCCAGAACAGTTTGGGTGGGAAGAGACCTCAAAGCCCATCCATTCCCACCCCCTGCCATGGCAGGGACACCTTCCACTGTCCCAGGCTGCCCCAAGCCCCAGTGTCCAGCCTGGCGTTGGGCACTGCCAGGGATCCAGGGGCAGCCACAGCTGTGCCAGGGCCTGCCCACCCTCACAGGGAACAATTCCTAATGCCCAACATCCCATCCATCCTTGCTTTCTGGCAGTGGAAGCCATTCCCCTTGTCCTGCCACTCCAGTTCCTGATGAAATCCCTCGCAAATTTTCTTGCAGCCCCTTCATGCCCTGGAAGGAGCTGTGAGGTCTCCCCACACCCTTCTCCCAGCCCCAGCTGTGCCAGCCTTTCCTCCCAGCAGAGCTGCTCCATCCCTCTGCCCATGCTGGTGCCTCCCCTGGGCTCTCTGCAGCAGCTCCAGGTCCCTCCTGTGCTGGGGCAGCTCTGCAGGTGGGGTCTCACCTGAGCAGAGGGGCAGAATCCCCCTGTCCCTGCTGCCCAGAGTGCATTTCCCCAAGCCAAGCACAGAATCCCCCAGCTGGCCACAGCTCAGTCCCATTTTGCTGTACAGCCCCACACCTGCTGCCTTCTGCACCCTCTGTGCAGCCCCAGCACAGCAGAAACTCAGAGTGCAGAATTAAACTGCAGCTCTGCCAACCCAGCTCCTCCCCAGCACGTGCCATGGGGCACTTTTCCTCCCTTGTTAGCCAACATTTGCCCAACTTCCCATAAATTTCCCCATCTCCCCCTGCAAGGTGACCAGAGTGTGAGTGTGTCCCAGCCAACGTGCCCTGACACAGGAGATTTCTGCTGCAATCCCCTTGCAAAACCCTTCCCTGATCCCAAAAAGCCCAGCCAGGGTCAGAGTTTGCAGAGTGTTGCCAAACCCTGGGGAATTCCTGGGGAAGAGATTTAGAGATTTCCCAGGAGCTGCTCAGAGGCTCAGGGACCACCAGGGCATCTCTGGCAGCATTTCCCAACCCAGAGCCAGCAGGGCATGGAGCAAAGGGTCCTTGGATGAGAAACTTGGTTGGGTTTGGCCATAAATCAGTACAAATGTTGTGTTTAACATTAACCTGCCCTGCTGGCTCTGCCTTCCTCCAGAAGGCACTTTTCCTACCCAGTAATTTTACCAAAGTATAAATTCCAGAGGAAAGGGAGGGGAGGGAAACCACAGCACAGCACACACTGTGTTTGAGGCAGAGGGGAGAGCCCTGCTGCAACCAAAACCAGGATTACAGGAAGCCTTGGGGCAAACAAGCTGCACAGCTCAGCCAAAGAATCCAAACTCTGATGAGGTCAAAGAAAAAAAAATTAGATCCACAGCTTTTTACACAATATTCTGCCATGTAAGAACACGCAGGGGAAGAGCAGAGTTTGGCTGCTTTCACAAACCACTTCCCATATGAATTAAAGCTTTCAGGAAATGATGGAAACAAACAAAAATCTGGCACAAAGTCTTGGGGAGGAGTCTTGTTTTGTTACACGTGTGAGAGCCACGGCATGTCTGTCTGTCTGTCTGTCTGCAAACAGAGCAGGAACAGGGCACGGAGAGCAGGAATATGATGGAAACGGGAGGAACAGCAAGAGAAAAGGAGGAGGAATGGAGAAGGATGAGGAGGAGAGGACGGATAAGAGGGAGAGATGAGGAGGAACAGAAGGAGAGAAGGAACACGAGGGGAAATGCAGGACCAGGGAGGAGAGGAACGGGAGAGGGAGGGGAGGAATGGGAGGAGGAGGAGGAGAAACACAGGAAGAGGAGAGGAACAGGAGGAGGAGGAAAAGAACAGAAGGAGGAGAGAGACAGAAACAGGGGGAAAAGAACAGAAGGAGAGGAGGAATAGGAGCGGAAAAGGAGGAATATAAGGAGGAGACGAGCAGGAAAAATGTAATAGGAAAAGAAGTAAAGGTATAGGAAAGGAGGAGTCGGAGGAGGAGAAGGGCTTTTCACAGCCCCCCGAGAACTTTCCCCTCGCCTTACCAAGCCCCTCGCCTCCCCTCAGCGCTGCCCCGGCAGCAGCGGGGGCTGTGCCCGCGCCTCAGGGCTGCCACAGCAGCGCGGAGCCGGCTCCCCTTCCCAGCGCCCTCCTCACTGAGGGCCCCCGCTAACGACAGCGGCCACGGGCCGTCGGTACCCGGTCCCGATCCCGGCGCACCGGTACCCGGTCCCGGCCGGTACCGCAGCCCCAGACCCCCGGACACGCCCCGGGCCCCCCGATGAACTCGCTTTCCCGGCGTGCCCCGCGCGCACCGCGCAGGCGCCGTGAGGGTGAGAGGTCAGGGCCGGCGGCGGCCGCGCAGGCCGCGCTCCCCCGGGCCCCCCGCCGCGCCCCCGGCCCGGCGCTCACCGCGGACCCGCTGCGAGGGGTACAAGCGCTGCGCCTTCTCCAGGAAGCGGCGAGCCTTGTCGGGCTGGTTGGCTTTGATGGCGGCCAGCGCAATGCCAATGCACCGCTCCGCCTCGTCCCGGTTCGACTCCATGGCGGCGGCGGCCGGGCGGGGGGGCGGAGGGGCGGGGCCGGGCGCGGACGGATGACGTCACGGAGCCCTGCCCTCCTCAGGCGGGCGGGCCCGGCCGAGGCTCCGGGGAGGCAGCGGAGCTGTGGGGGGATTCAGCGGGGCCCAGAGCTGGGGGGAACCAGTCGGCCCCCAACAGGGGAGGGCACGCCAGAGGGCACCCCGGGATCCTGCTCAGGGTGGATTATTAACAACTCCTCATTAGAGCCTCCTCCTCATGGAGTTCTGCCCTTGCAGAACTGGGGCCTGGCTGCAGGGACCGCGCCCGGCACGGGCTGAGGGCACCCTGAGGAGGGTGAGGCTGCTCGGGTGTCGGGACCCGGGACATCCCTCTGGCTGCCCTGGGTGATTCCAGACCCTGGCACGGGGCTCAGAGACCTTGGCACGGAGTCACAAACACCTCTGCCTTTGATTTTAGCCCATGGAAACAATTACCAACTTTGTGTGAGGAGTTACAAGCCACAAGGGTTTGAGTAAAATGATAGTGAATTTGTCACAGGGTGAAAAAGCAGAATTTTGGGGTTTTAGAATGGGGTTCAAGAGGCAAGATGGAGGAATGGATGGGCATGTCCTGTCCTTCTTCTTCCTCCATCTTCTCCTGGGATGGTGACACTTCTGGATTGGTTTAGAGTAGGAACACACTGTCTAACATAGGTGATAGGTATTGGGAAGTTATTGTAAATAAAGTAAACGTAGTTTTTAGTATAAAAGGTCAACACCACCCCAAGGGCAAGGACTGTGCCACAACCCAACCTGCTGGACAGAGCTCAGCAGGTCAGAGAGAGAATGTTACAGATAATAGAAAATAAATAACCTTGAAAAGCAGAACCAAGGAATTTCAACTTCTTCTTCAGTTGTGGGGCTGGGAAAAAGACTCTTTAATACCTCGGGGGCCATTTCAGCAAGGCAAAACCCAAGATTTGGGGCTGCGTCACATTGTTTCACATTCAGTCACAGCAGGGATGGCAGGAACAACCTTCATCCCAACAGAGAATTCAGAGACAGTGACAGATCCTGGAGGCTGGCCGTGGGGAGCAGGCAGGAGAGGCAGGAAGGTCTGTGGGTGTGAAGTGAGTGACAGCACAGGGACCCACACCCAAACCACCCAAAAACAGCCTGGGAAATGAGGGGGAGAGGATCAGGATCAATATCCCTGTGTGAACCATGGAATCCTACAATGGTTTGGGTGGGAAGGGACCTTAAAGCCCATCCAGTGCCGCCCCTGCCATGGCAGGGACACCTCCCACTGTCCCAGGCTGCTCCAGCCTGGCGTTGGGCACTGCCAGGGATCCAGGGGCAGCCCCAGCTGCTCTGGGCACCCTGTGCCAGGGCCTGCCCACCCTCCCAATGTCCCATCCAGCCCTGCCCTCTGGCTGTGGGAAGCCATTCCCCGTGTCCTGGCACTTGAGGCCCTTGTCAATATTCCCTCTCCATGTTTTTGTCACCTCCTCCAGGCACTGCAAGGCCACAGTGAGGTCACCCTGGAGTTTCTCTCCAGGTGAACAATCCCAGCTCTCCCAGCCTTTCCTCATGGCACAGATACTCCCATCCCTCTGACCACCTCGTTGGCTTCCCCTGGACTCTCTCCAGCAGCTCCTTCCTGTGCTGGGGACAGAAAGGATTCCAGGAGTGACTGATCCCCTTTGTCCTTCCAGCTCTGGAAATTCACAGAGGTTTCCCCCACTCCCAAAGCACCCACGTTCAGTGCCTGAGCCCCAGTCCTGGGGGAGGATGTGGAGCAATGCAGACACAGAGCCAGGCTGCAGGGAGGAACATCTTTACAAGGAATTGTACAGAGGACAGTCCCAGCAACCCACACCTTCCAGCCCTTCCCAGCACAACTCCCCAGGCAGGGAATCAGCCTGGGAGCTCCTGCTTGTGCCAGGCAGGAGAGCTGCACTGCTTTTAGCTGCCCTTCTGCAGCAGGTGCAGCTTTAGGCTGGCCGCAATCCTGGCCTGGGATCCAGGGAATGCAGGAATTTCCTGGCTTTTCTCAGGAGCAGCCTGAGAATCAAAAGAACCCCCCATGCCATTTTTCATAGCATTAAATAAAGGTGATTTGGGGCCCAGCTCCGGAGCAGGGCACATCGTGCCACGGAGGTGCTGGCAGTGAAAGTCCTTTCCTTGTTCCTGAGAGAGAGGAAGATGGAGGAGCCAGCAGCAAGCACATTCAGCAGGTGTGGATTTCTAACAAAACCCTCCTGGCACAGCCAGCCTGGGCTCTCCAGAGCCTGGTGCCAGCCTGCTGTGCCCAGGGGCTGATCCAGGGAATGGGGGTGCTCCTTCCCAGCCCTGCTACTGCTGCTTGGGAGCTGTGAAGTCCCAGGCTGTCTCCTGGGCACACTTCCACATGGCCCTCATGAGCCGAGTGAAGCCCATGTCCTTGGGCTTCTCCAGGCCGCGCATCAGCCGCTGCTTCATGATGGCAACAAACTCCTTGTTGCTCAGCTCCCCATTCCCTGCAAAAAGGAGGAAAAACAGTCAGAGACCCACCAGCAACCTCGTTGGAATGACAACTTTAAAGGGCAGCAGCCATGAGTGTCCTTTCCTGCAGAAACACAGACCACATTCGGCTCCCACCTCCCAAAAAATATCCTGCTGAGCAAGGGCTCCTGAGCCACAGAGTTTAAATCCCAACCCCATGGATGATGCTCCTTCTGCAGGAGGCAGAAAAGCAAATGCAAACCAAATGTCCCTGTCCTGCCAGGAAACACTGCTTTAAGTGGTTTAGGAAATTGTAGGTGCACAAATTTTCCTAATGGAGTAGAAGGGAAGATTTGTTGATCTGATGAATGAGGTTATGCAGAATGCAGCCACTGGGCAGCAGAATTCCAGCAAACTATCAAGGGTTGAGCAAAATTGCCTCCAGTGCTGCAGGTTTTTATTGCCTGTAAACACTGATGTAGTGAAAACAACAAAATAATAATAATAATAAAAAGCTGTCTGTGCCTGCTTTTCCACTTGGTTTCTTCCTCAGGGGACTCCTCTGGCAACCAGAGTCTTTCCCCCTAAAGATTTGCTATCAAAATATTTAGGAGATTCTCCTCTGAGAGAAGGCAAACAGGGAATATTTGGTTACACTTCAGCTCACTCTGATCTCCAGCCTGATCATCTGGCATGAAGATTGTATCACAACAGTGGTGCTGAAGCACAGAGGAAAATAAAACAGGAGATGTGACCTTAGAGAGGTGCAAAGGAGCTGGTGGGGCTGAAACCAAGAGGGACAACAAGGAATAAATTAATTAAATACATTTTTAAATGTTCATACTTATGCAACAGTGCTGCCACTCAGAGCTGCCAGATGCTGGTGACTGCTGGAGAAGCAGGGTGCCAGCCAAGACTGATTTTGGCCTGGCAGTTTTGGGCAAATGCAGAATTTCCTTCTTTCCAAGTCAGAACTGCTGTCACCTGGCAAAGGCTCCAGTAACTCCCGTTAAATTGAGCCAGGAGTGCTTCAGTGTGACAACAACCACCCCAGGGCACTCACAGCCTCTGCAAAGCCAGTTTCCAGCAGGGCAGAGTGCTGCTATTAATTAATTAAAAATTAAGCTGACATTTGTCTAGGACTTTGGAGATAAAGCCCCAGCCTGGCTCATTTCCAACACTGGAGCACAAGAGTTCATTCTGTTCGACCAACTGAAGCTCTCTGGGTGGGGGAAAAGGAGCAAAGTGTGCACACCAAACCTTCCCATCTGTGCTCCAACATCCCCATCTCACAGGGTGGGTACCCCTGGATACCCTTCCCAAAAGAGCAGGAGGAATGTGGGAAATGGATTTGTAGAGAATTGTCAAAGCCTGACAGAAGGTTTATACAGTGTGTGCATCTGTGTGCAAACTTTGAGAGAAGAAATGGAGCTAGAAACAAGTTTCAAAGGATGGCCTTGTAAAAAAGACTGGATATTTTGGAGAAATAGAGCTATGAAAGATGCACTGTGTAGTGGGCCCCATGAGGGGTAATTTGAGATGATTTAAGGCATGGCACATTTATATTTTCTGGAAAAATCCCTTTGCCCAGGATTTTGCTCCTGGGAAGCTGAGAAGCCTCAGAGAAAAAGGAAAACAATAATTATCTCATTGCTTCTCCTGTGTTTTGCTGCTTTGGAATGTGTTTGGACATTGTTTACCCACAGGTGATTGTTTCATTGGTTTTATGTGAATTATTTTGTCTCACTGGTCAATCAGGGCCAAGCTGTGTCAAGGCTCTGGAGAGTCACGAGTTTTCATTATTATCTTTTTAGCATTGTGTAAGTATCCTTTCTGTATTCTTTAGTATTTTATGATACTATATTATATTAAAGAATGCTATACTAAACTATACTAAAGTTTAGTATAGCATTCTTTAGTATAATATAGTATCATAAAATAATGAAGGATCCTTCTGAGAACATGGAGTCAGATTCATCATTCCTTCCTGCCACGAGGCACCCCACAAATACAATAAAGGCATTTACAGCATGGTGTGGCTAAAGCTGATAGGCCAAGAAACATCATGTAATTAGGAAATGGTTGGCTTGTGAATGTGATGGTGTGAATTACAACATCTGTATTGTCTCACCCTTCTCATGAGACTGAAAACGGAGTGTAAGTTTTTAAATCACCTCTCAGTTGCCCCGTCTCTGGGTCAGAAAAGGCATAATCCAACAGGGGATCACCTGGACACAGAGCATGGCAGGAAGAAGCATTTCCCCCAGGGTTCCTGCCCTGGGCTCCCCCAGCCTGGCCGAGCTGTGCTCACTCACCGTCGCAGTCGAAGAGCGCGAACACCACGTCGCACACGTGGTCTGACAGCTCCACCTTGGCCACGGTCCTGGCCACCTGCTGCATGGTCACTGCAACACACGGAGGGCACAGGGTCACACAGGGGCCAGCCACAGCAGCACACTCCTGTTCCTGGGGGAAACCAGCCCTGGTGTCCTCAGAGAGGCTGCAATGAGCTTGACCAACGAGGCAGCTCCTCCTGACAGCACTCCAAGGAATGCTATCCTGTCACAGACCTATTCTATCAAAAATCTTTTTGCTAGGATCTTTTCTCTAAAGAAGCTGAGAAGCTTCAGCTTCTCCATGTTTTGCTGCCTTAGAATGTGATCTGGAGAATTGTTTACCCAGCATGTGAAACTGTTTCTACTTGATGACCAATCACAAGTCCAGCTGTGTTGAGACTCTAGTCAGTCACAAGACTTTGTTATCATTGCTAACCTTCTGATGAAATCCTTTCTTCTTTCTTTAGTATAGCTTTAATATATCATTTTATTTTAATATAATATATAGCATAAAATAATAAATCAGTCTTCTGAAACATGGAGTCAAGATTCTCATCTCTTCCCTCATCCTGAGACCCCTGCGAACACCACCACATTATCCAGCATTCAATTCTATCAATCAGGGAATTCCAAAAACTCCTTTTCCTGTTGCAACCCAATAACTGCAGAACAAACCCACCCACCATCCTGCAGGGAGCAGACCAGATTAACCTTGCAATAAAAAAAAAGAGTTGTAAGGAATTATTTCCCTTTTCTCCCTAGACTGGCAGCAGAGAAGCAAGCACAAGTTTTATTCCCCACCTTTAGAAAATTCCATCCAATTCATGGAGCTATCAATCTGGCAGGGTTAGGCAGTTGATTTTTGCTGCACAAATGGGAAAAGAAAAGCCCCCTCACTAGGCTGGTGTGAGTGTATTTAAAGTTAAATTGCTTCTCTACAAAGCCTGACCCAAGGAAATGCCATCCACAGCACCTGGGATCAATGTTTAGCTGTGGAGCAAGGGAAAAAGGGAAGTGGTGCATCACAAAACCAGACTGAAACCACAAACAGCCTCTGCTTTCCTCCACAGAATCCTTATGAGCTTCTGCCCCCCTAGTCCTTCAGGAATTTTGGAGAGTTAAGTGTGTCAGAATGGAAGAAATAATAATCCAATATATACTGTAACTGGATTAATTACAAACTCATAAAATATTTCTAATGAGATTTTTTTCATTGATGTTTACATTATTGGTATCTTCCACCCTGTTTCTGCTCCCCTGAGTGAAATCTGGGGTTTTCTGAGAGGAATTCACAGCCACCATCAGCTCCTTTTCCCCATAAAACCTCTCCTATTACTAAATAATGCAGGAGAAAATTGAAATGATGCATTGTAAATGTAAAATAGATATAATCTCAAGTAGGACCCTGCTTTTCCCACATAATTATTCTTTCTGAGTGAAATTCCCTTTCTCCATAAGTGATGTAGCTCCAGCAGTTATTACTTTGTATTTCCTCAAACAACACCAAATTTCACTTAATTTGTATTGGTAAATGTAAAATTTCTCTTGAGATCCTTCACCTTGATGCCATCCTCCTCTCCTGGAGTCCTAGGTACCCTATGGCTGTAGCCTTACATGTAAAAAAAAAAAATTAGAATGATTTCTTCATCACAGAATTCCAGAATGGTTTGGGTTGGAAGGGGCCTTAGAGCACATCCAGTGTCACCCCTGCCATGGCAGGGACACCTTCCACTGTCCCAGGCTGCTCCAAGCTCCATCCAGCCTGGCCTTGGGCACTGCCAGGGATCTGGGGCAGCCCCAGCTGCTCTGGGCACCCTGTGCCAGGGCCTGCCCACCCTGCCAGGGAACAATTTCTCCCTAACACCAAATCAAAATCTGCCTTTCAATTTAAAACCATTGCCCCTTGTCCTAATTCCTTTAATTATAAGTTATGCTTTTCTGCTGAGATTTTCCCCACTCCTTCCATCTCTGCAGGGAGTCTCCTGATCCCTCCCCTCCTGTTTGTTTTTCTCTTGATCCCTCCCCTCCTGTTTGTTTTTCACAGCCACAGTTTTCCCAGCTGGAATTTGCACTCATGGCCAGCAGTTCTTGCTTCCTCTCTTATTGATCCAAGTGCACAAGTGTCAGCTCCATCCCATCGTTCCTGCTTGATGCCGGAATGACTCCACAGGGGCTGCAGGACTGTGCTGTGCTGGTTTTTAAGGAATCAAAAGGAGGAGGGAAAGAGTCTCTGCTTTCACATCCTCACACATGCTCCAGACCACAAGGCAGCTCAGGAAGGCAAATAAAATCGAAGCAAACCTGCTGGAATAATTTCTTTACCATGAAATGGAATAGGTGCTGTCTGGGGAACATCTCTTAAAGCCTGTGATGGTTTGGAGTTCTGGGATAGAAATTCTCCTGGATTTCACATCATCAAAAATGAGTTCCACATTTCTATCTTGAAAAGCTTCTAAAATTTCATGCATTGGTATCTCCCACTGGTTCCTTTAATGAGCCATCTGAGTGATTTTATGCAAATTTAGGGTCTGACACAGTTATCCTTTTTTTCCACTCTGATTCCCAGAAGTGCACTGTGAGCAATGCCTCACTGAGTGCTGCTCCAGGCCAGGGCCTCAGCAGATGGCAAACTTCACTTTTCCTTCCAGCTTGGGATTAATCACACATGTGGCCAAAAGAATGGACAGCTGGGCTGCTGCTTTGTTTTCCAAATGGCCCTGGGGGGATGGGAGCAGAGCTCCTGCCCTGGGCATTCCAGGATGGAAAGGCAGGACACACATGTGGTTTGGGCTCCCAGAAATCAGCCTCACGTGGATGCATACATTTCATTTCAGGGCTCCCAGGTGGAAATGTTGAATGCTATCACTGGCAGCATAGCTCCCAAAATCTATTAACTTTTTCCAAATCATTTGCATGAGTATGTGCTGGAACACCCATCCAGAAAGAGATGGGTAAGCCTTGTGCAATCCTGTGTGCACAGCACATCCTCCTTGCTCTTCTCAAGCTGCAGCCCTGCAGCAGAGCAGAAGCTGTTTTCACATCAAAGGCAGCATGACAGAAAGTCACAGAGATCAGGGAGAATAAAAAAGAAAAAGGCAGAGCTCCCAGACCAGAGCAGAGCTGTTGGTGCAATATCCAGAGCCAGACACGTGGAAAGAAAGGAGATTGCTTGGAGACACCCCAAACCTGAGTGCAGGGGATCCTGTTGGACACCAGGGTCCCAGAGCCCCCTCCCAGCACTGCCATTCCTGCACAGGAGCACCCCAAGCTGTGCTTCCAGGAGGGCTGGTTTCTCCCATCCCTCTCCAAGGCAAAGCAAGCAGCAATTCCATGGCTGCACCCCAGCTCACCTCAACCTGGTTACTGAGAATTTCAGACTTCCTGACTCCCTGTCCACTCTGCAGCCGTTTCAAGCAGCATTATTCTAACAAAATGATTTTCCATGAACCTCTCTGGGGCTCCAGCCCTGCTCCAAGCCATGGATCAGTGGGATCAGCTTCTCCCTGTGCTTTGGCCCATCCATGCCTTGCCCCAAACCCCACAGGAGTTATCCCACAGCTCCCTGCTGGCAGCAGGGCTGCTTGGAAAGCCTGGCTGCACACAGTGCCAGGAAAAGTGCAATTCACACTCTCCTAAAAGGGGAATAAGCATCAAATTCAGTTCCTGTCCTGCTTCCAGCTGTGAGCCCAGGCTGGGGAAGTCTCCTAAGGAATGCTTGTGATTTAGGAGAATGACAGCTATTATGTTGCTGGGAAAATGAAAGATGGGCTAACAAATAATCTGTGTGTTTTTAAATGGGTCATTAAAATACAGGTTTATGATCCTTTTTAGAAGAAGAAGAGATGTTAATTCAGCACAGAAAGCAGGCTGTCAGGCTCTGGCTGTTTGGTAGCAGCCATTTTTTCCCCTCTGAAATTTTAAACAGCCCTTTTAAAATCATAATAATGTTTGCTGCATTGTTAACAGCAAATTATTACACATACCAACCTCTTCCTAGTCCCCATGCCAGTGTAATTTTTACTTTGTTAGTTTGTAACCAGCAACCTCGTGAAAGCTTCGCTTTTGGGAGGGCTCACCCCATTTATGGTTTATTTAAATCTGATCCCTGCCTAAGGAAGGTTCCCTTAGCCCAGCCAAGCATTCCCAGCTCAGTGGCTGCACAAGCTCATTAATGACACATAATTAAAAAGCAATCACACTGATTTACCAACTGCACACAGACCTAAATTCTGTGAAAATGTATACTCCATGACAGGACAAATGCTAATTTCCTGTAGGCACTGAGTAAATTTGATTTGCTGGGCTATCACCTCCCCTGGGATGCTGCAGAAAGGGCTCAGAGCAGCAGCAGCACGCCCAGACTTGGTATTTTACTTTTAAATGAAGGAAATCCTATCAGGTTCTTTTAAGTCCTAAGGTAATGATGTTCTAAACCAAAGATACAGATGATTTCCCCCAAAAAATTCAAGATGAGAAGGGCTGCTGACACACACAAGAAGAGATGTGACACATTTGTTTCCCTCTGTAATTCCACTGCCCCCAAACCTATTAATGCCTTAATATTCCCCCAACAGCAGCAGTTGGAATAGCTGGCTTCTAAAATGTTTAATTCTGCAGCTGCCTACATGAATCAGCTTTAACTTTGTAGCAGACAAGAGTTTCCACTTAGCCTAAAACTCTTTTAATGAGTTTGCCATCTTTATTTTATATCCTCAGTCTGTTAAAAAAATTCCCTCTTAAAAAAACCCAAAGACCAAAGCACTTGTGACAGACCCTGGCAGCAGGGTGGGACTTGGTTTGAAATATATTTGGGGGATTTTTTGCCTTTTTTAAAAATCAGTGTGTCAGATCTAAGAACAAACCTGAGACAGAGCAGCTGAGAAAAGGAAACATGATGAGAAGGAGAAGGATATGGATTGGGCTGATCAATAAACCACACTATTAGCAGGGTCCCCAGGAAACACCAGCTCTGAGGTTTGTTCAGTCCACTTCTCTGGACTGTGGGTTATCTGAAATTGCGTCTCTGGACAGACTTTAATGCCCAGTCTGGGACCTCAGTGGTGTTCCAGTCTCCCCCTCTTTCCCTCCAGCACTCCCAGGAGCTCTGCAAGTGTTTGCCACTGCTTGGCCCAATCAGAAATGCAGCACCCAGCCCTTATTTCTAGGCAAAGTCTAGGATTTGTGAGCAAAGCTGGAACAAACCAAGGGTTGAGCAGTTCCTACCTCCAGCCCACTGCTGCTGTGCCTCTGCCATGGGATCAGAGACCTGCACAGAAGACGACTCTGCAAGAATTCTTTCACACTCATTTATGAATCCTTTGTATAAGGAGGAAAAAAGGCCACTTCAGAAGATGGGGATGAAGAGGAAACAGTGGTGTCTCTGGGATCTGGGACCACAGCCTGTGGCACACTCATTAGGCCACCTTGCCTCTGCACACAGCAGAAAGGTCCCTCTCAAGGTACCACCATGAAATCTTTGCTTCCTCATCCATTCAGGCTACACGTGCCAGCCTTGCTTCTCCCTCCATCTAAAACTGTGGGAGTGTAAAACCTGAAATCCCTCTTTATCCATGGATGTAGTGAGCCAAGCACCCCATTACAGGGAGGAACTGCAATTTGGCTACATTTTAACCTGTCAGCCTGGCCTTGTCTGACACCTTGCAGCTCCAAAGCCACAGTATGAGTTGTGCTCCCTCAGGCTTTCAGCACCTGAACACCCCACAGGTTCCAGTACCTTTATCAAGAGAAGCTCCAGCCATGTGGTAGAAGCTCAAAGCTGTGTCCACATCATTGATGTTCTTCAGAAAGGTGAAGAAGTTCTCCACCTCCTCAAAAGTCAGCCCCTAGGACAGAAAAAAGACACTCACATGGTGATGGGACAGAGATCATGGGCACTCCTGGAAACGACACAGTGACTCACTGGCCCAAAGCTGCAGCCAGAAGTGCAGAATTCATCTGCACGCTGCAAAAACTCAGCCTTGGCAGTTTGGATGTTTGGGCTGTGATCTGTACTTCTGTTCCCCTCCTGGCCCCACCAGTCCCACAAAGGGAAGGAACTGAAAACCATTTCCCAGGTGAGCAGACCTCAGATGCAGGAGACCACTGCAAACAGGGGAATTGATAAATTCATTTGAAGCCTGCACACTTGCAATGGCAATATCAAACAGTCCATGTTTGATATTTTGATTTGATATTTTGATATATTGATATTCTCAGTAACCTTTCCTGGTTATTGAGAATTTCAGACTTTCTGTGCTGACAGACACTGACCCCCAAGAAAACATTACATTTAACCTGAAGCCATAGAAAAGGCTTCCAAAATTCAATAATAAAACTAAGATTATAGGTGTGTAGTTTGAATAAAAGTGTGTAATATCACGTAGTAAAAAACTTAAGAGTTTAAGATTTTAAAATACAGTAGTATATATAAAGCAACATAAAAGTTTTAGAGCAGAAGCTAGTCCTTCTTCTTTCTTCACCTTCTTCATGAGTTTAAATAATGTTGTGCAGTTGGATAAAAAAGTCCACATTGCAAGTCACAAGTAGTTAGTTATTGAGTTAAAAGTAAAAATAATTTAAGTGCCATTTCTTAATTAAACAGTTTATCTTTAAAAGACCTTGTAGAGAGAGATACATCTCCACTTTGTAATTTTTTAGTAAAGTGCTGTAGAACTCAGAGTTTATGAGACTGTAATACAGATAAGAACTAATAAACATCTGAATCCAAACAAGAAATACCATCTCACACATTTAATCCCAACCCTAACAACAAAAAAAGATAAAAACTCAACAAGCCCATAGACTGTAAGGCCTCTCCCAGGAGATCCAGGAGTCCCTAGGGGAATCCAGGTCCTACCCAGTGTGGCAGAAGGTGACACTGAAGCACAGAAGTGTCCCAGTTTGCTTTGCTGCTGGAGGCAGGATCCCTGCCTGCTCCATGTACCTGGGCCAGGTGCTCAGTGAGAGCCACACTCTGGGATAGCCATGGAAATACATCCTGAGACCCCCAGGAAAGAACTGCTGCTGAGCACAGCTCTGAACCCCACCTGGTTACACTGATTTTATCACCCTGTGCAGCTGCAGCACCACCACAGCACTGCTGGGGATGCCTTGGGAAGGCTGAGCTAGAACAGAGGCCAGACAGAGCTAAAGAATAAAGCAGGGATTTATTAACAGGCTCCATGGATCCACCTTGGGCAGCACAAGAGCCCAGCCAGGGCTGCACCCAAGGTGAACCCAAATGGGCACAAAATGCACAACTGGTCATGAGGTCTCTCACTTTTATCAGCTCTGCTCCTTTTGCATCTTGCAGTTCATTGTCCAGTTCCAGCTTTAGCCCATCCAGTCCCATCCTGCTTGTTTTTCCCTCTCCAGCCTGCACTGTTTGTGCTCCTGGGCCTGAGATTTGGATCATTTGTCCTTGGTCCCCAGCTGGAGCAGGAATTGTTTTGTCTCCCTGCTCTGTTCACAGAGCTCACCATCCCTTAATGTGAAGCTCAGACCCACACACTAAAGCAGCACAGAGTCTGAAATATAAAAGCTAAACCTGAGGCATCAGTGGGACAGGAGCTGGAGCCTCCAACTCCAGCAGAGCCACGGCAGGGAGCCAAGGAGGAGGTGAATCATCACCACAGTAATAACCACTCAGACTCCCTCTCTGGGACACATAAATCAGCTTGTCAAGAGTTCAGCTTCAGGCTCCTCCTATCCTGCCTGGCATGACAGATTAATAGAGCAAGATATTAAAAATCCAAACTGCAGAACACAGCCCAGCTCCAGGACCTGGATGTGTTCAGCGGGTACTGTCAAATGTAAATTTACACAATCTGCTGTAACTCTGCTCAAACAACTTCTAATCAGGGAAGAAGCCACCAATCTTTTGAAAGAAAAAGAACATTTTTAAGGTCTTTCCATACAAACATTTGCAGCTTGTTCCTATCTTTGCTGTAAGGGAGTATGTGGCCCTGCAGTGATGATCTGTGTGTGCACTGATACATGCAACAGCAGCTTTGTCAGCCCTGGACTCATGGATCTGGGCCAAAAAGGATGAGATGGCAAAATGGGAGAGCACATGTGGACAACAGAGCTGACTGAGGAGAGAAATCCCTGGTGACTCTGCAGGGAGCTTTCCTTGAATGTCTGCCTGCTCCTCTTCCTGAGGGGAACACGAGGATGCACAGCAGAATTAAATTAAATACTGTCCTAGGGAGAAAATAATCCAATAAATCAGGTGCTTCTGCAGGAAGCAGTGCAAAGATCCCTCTGTTTTGTGCAATGGTTCTACAAGAGAAAACATCTTTGCAATTACCATGATGTCTCCCTGCCAGAGCAGGGCACTGGGAGAGTGGAAAGCCTGGAGGAACCACGAGGAGTGTGGCCCTTCCAGGCCAGCAGAAGTGATCTTGTGCTGTGATCTGCCTGCTCTGTCTGGGACCTCTGGGGGTTGCAGTGTTATGAGCAAAGAGCCATAAACCTTGTATTTCCTGGGATTCCCAAAATGGCATTTGCCAAGGCCAAGCAGCACTGCACTGCTGTCTGTGCAGAATGGAGCCCAGTTTGGAATCCTGCAATGGTTTGGGTGCGAAGGGACCTCAAAGCTCATCTCATTCCATGGTGTCCCATGGGCAGGGACACCTCCCACTACCCCAGGATGCTCCCAGCCCCACCCAACCTGGCCTTTGTGACCCTTTCACCAGCTGAAAACACAAAACCAGTGACACAAGTGTATCCTACAAATCATGGCTTTCATGTGGACAAAATAACTGAATCTCTGTAGCAAGAATACCACCAGTGTTATGAAATTTCGTATTTTTTGAGGAATCCTATAGGTGGGGCTGGCATCAATGCTATCTCTGTTCCAGATACCAAAATAAAATAAAAATCAGAGACTGGGACGGCCTCAGGCAAGCTAACAGATGAATGATCATATCTTTCAAGGCATTTGTAGCTCCAGCTGTTAATTCATAATCAGCTGAATCCCTTCATCACCCAAGTAATCCTCACAAAACATAAACAGGGAAGGTCCAGAAGCACTTACCTGCTTGTAACACAACAGCTCAAATGAGGGCTTTTCACCTGGGAACCCAGGTCCAGCCAGGAATTCCAGCTCACTGCCACCCCTGCCAAAACCCCAGGCAGCCCTTGAAGCCCATGTGGGAGATGACATGAATCACTGATTTCTGAAGAGATAGCTTGGTTTCCCAGCACTTAGGGGGGCATAAACCAAGTAATACATTGCTTGTGAATATTGCTGATGGCTCGGGTCCTTCTTACCAGGAGAAAAGCAGCTGTGTGAGTGCAGCCTGGGGAGGACACTCATAAGCAATGTCAGACAAAACAGAGAGTGGCAGCTCTGCTGAATAGGCAAAGTTCACCTACCCAGGGTAAGATGGGATTTTTCCACAAGGAAAAAAAATAATGAAAGCAGATTAGCAGTTAATAGAAGAAAACTTGTCACTCTCAAAAGCAGGAATGAAGAATAACAGCCTTGGAAAACAGCTAAAGATTAGATTAAACCCAGAGTTTTATTGTTTTGGAGGCTGCCAGGGCTGCCTTGTGCAGTCAAGGTAATTGCACCAGACAAAGAAGACAAGGTTTGGCAGATTCCATAAGAAAGCTCTCTCAAAAGAACTGTACTTCCAAGGGAAAGCCTTGCTGGGTGAGTTTGGGACATTTTCTGGGCATTTCACCCTCACCAGTGTAAGCAATCATGAATTTTTCACCACTTCTGTTCCTTAAAAGTGTTTTTTTTTTTTGTCCTATTGCTCATTTTCTCTCCTTGAAAGTCCTTGGAATAAAGGAAGATAAAGATTTGCTCTGAATCTGGCTGGCTGTAAATAGAAAGACAATCTGGCTGATTTGGGGATGAGGAATAAGGTAAGAACAAGAAGTTCTTCCTCTAGCACAGATGTCAGAGTCTTGGCTTACACATGAAAGGAAGAAAACATCTGCTGTAGGAAACCTTCCAAAATAAATTCATTTGCCTCTTTTCTCACACAGCCGGCTACTGTTCAGTAATATCTACAGACACACACACACACACATATGTATATAAACCCAAAAATCACAGCAAAAAAATCAACAATTTGCAAACTTCAAAAGCAGAACTGATATTTTTCTATTAGACACACATTGCATTTAAGCACTTTTTTCTGGAGAAATCAAATTATTCCTGGTAATGTAGGAATCCCATTCAGGAACAAAAAGAGCTGCAGACCCTGGTCAGAACTTGTGTTTTATAACACACTTGGCACCTAAACCAGTTAAGAAATAAACTCTAGTTCTGAAGTCAGAAGAAAGCAGCTCTAAAACAGCCAGCCAAAGACTTTCCATTCATTCTCGCTTGATGAATTGCTTGTTTATATCCCAGTTAATAAAAGAACATTCTGGCTTAATAAAAGAACATCCATTACAGGGGCAGATGTAAAATTCTAATGCTCAATAATTTCTCAGCCCATACTTGCCTTACCTGATAAAGCACATCTTGTGGTATGGATATCTTATTCCAAGGACTCTCCCTGAATTAATGAGTGTAGGGTCTGCAAACTTACTCCTCACTAAATTGTGAGTAATTTTTCCCAGAAGTTAATAACTAAATAATAAACAGCCTGCTCACAGCAGCTAACGAATCCAAGGTCGAGCCAGGAACTGGGAGCACGGCTTCAGTGTTTGTCCTGGCTCCAGACCCAGGCTGCCATTCAGCAAATTGAATTTTTAAAATTACAGCATCTATTTTCATAAGGAACAAACCTACAGCCTGCACTGGACACCAACCACTGCACTCCCAGCTCTTCCCTCTCTCCCACAGCTCAACACGGAGCGGACGCTTTTACAAAGAGGACGGGGATTGCTTAACTCATTTCTCAGTGAGAAATTTTCCCAAATTTTCCATGAATGCCACTGACCTCTCCATCCTGGAAGTGCTTCTTGAGCTGCTTGAGCATGACAGTGAGCTTCTTGGACTGCACCCCGCTGTAGGCCAGCAGCATGCTCCCGAACTGCCGCTCCGTGATCCGCCCCTCCACCGGGTCGTGCCGCTCGAACTGCCAGGGAAGGGACAGGGAGGTGAAAACCAGGAGCAGCACAAAGCTCCACCTCAGCTGGGAGGCATAGAAAAGGCACCATAAAGGATTAACATTGCAGGAAACTCTGGGGAGGGAGAAGTGCTGATGGGTTCCAGCATCTGCTTTCCCCAGGATTGTCTCTCTACATTCACCCTCTGTGCAATTCCTTGGACAGCTCTTGGGAGAAGCCTCTGCTGGAGTCCTGGATGCTGAGAATTTTAGACTTTCTGTACTAAGAGTCTAACCCCCAAGAGAACACTGCATCTCTCAGAATTCACAGAGTCACAAGGCTGCAAGAGACCTCCAAGATCATCCAGTCCAACCCAGCCCCAACACCCCAACTAAACCCTGGCACCCAGTGCCACATCCAGGCTTTGTTAAACACACCCAGGGATGGTGACTCCACCACCTCCCCGGGCAGGGCATTCCAGTTCTTTATCACTCTTTATGTAAAAAAACCTTTTCCTAATATCCAACCCATATTTCCCTTGGCACAGCTTGAGTCTGTGTCCTCTGGCTCTGTCAGTGCTGCCTGGAGAAAGCTCAACCCCACCTGAGCACAGCCACCTTTCAGGTGAGTTTTCATTTGACCTGAGAGAAAGCTCCCAAAATTGATTGATAGCACTAAGATTATCAGTGTGTAGTTTAATTAGAAGTGTGTAATATCACAGAGTAGAAAACAAGAGTTTAGAATTTTAAAATATAACAATATATGAGACAAAATAAATGTTTTAAGACAGTAGCTAAATGTTTTTCTTCTCCTTCTTCTTCATAAATTTAAGTATTTTTAAATATTAAAATATTAATTAAAGTATTATAAAATGTTGTTAGTTTTATAATTAAACAAAAAAATTTCCACATTGCGGACTTCAAGTAATTAGTTATTAAATCAAAAGTAAAAATAATTTCAGTGTAATTTCTTAATTAAATAGTTTAACCTTAAAAAAACCTTATATAAAATTTAAGTATTTTATAACTTTAATAAAATACTATAAAACTCACAACTTTTAATATAAATAAAAATAATAAACATGTTAATCTAAATACAAACTATTATCTCAAGCACTTCAATCCCAACCTTAACAAAAGTAAAAAAACCCCCCAAAACCAAAACAAACCCTCAAAAACCAACATTTAATGGTGCCCCAGTGTGAGGACACCTGTTGAGGTCAGGACCTCCCTGAAGAAACAGAGAATGTGCAGCTGTAAGCAGCAAAGAAAAAATCCCCAGGGAAAAGCAAGAAGAAAAAAGGAAGAAAAAAGAACTCAGAAAACCCTCCCAGCTTTATCCTACAGGACTGGGCTGATGAGTGGCTGCTCTAAACAGGGACAGTGGTTAATAAACCAAAGAGAAGTCCTGCAAAGGTCTAATTTTACTCTTCTCTGCTTCAAGGCCAGTGTCCCAGCAAGGGAAGGTTCATGGATATCTCCAGACTTCACCTTCCCCAAGTTCTCATCCTCAGCCCCTTCCATCCCTGACTCTTACAAATGCTGCTGTGAGGCCCCTGCAGAACTTCCAAAAAGCCCTTTTGGGAAGGGCAGAGAAGGTTTTCTCCACTCATCCATCTCTCCTGCAGCGGTTTGTCTCCTGGCTTGCACTGCAGGGGAGGAGGGAAAAGCCTTTCCGCAGCCTGGGAAGGTGCTGGCTGGGAGCCCACCTCTGAATAATGAGAATTTCATCCTTTTCTCTTCTCCCATCTCTGTGAATCCACCAGCATCAACATCAGATTTCAACCAGCTTCACAGATCTCAGCGCTTGGGACAGATTATGTCCCTCCAAATTTACCAGGAAACACAAGACCAACACTCCAGCTGATCACAAGGCAGAAGATGACATTTAACAACAAAATGAATTTTTAAACTCATGGGGAACAACTTGGTACCAGTGACTGACATTCTGCTGCCTGCTGAGCTGACCATTCCAGCCTCAGCTGCTCTTCAGTGCTAATGAATTTTTAATTATTACCACATCAACCAGACTTTGGCTGCTTTTCCCAGCGGGAAACCAAGGAATGCCTGGTAAGTGGAGCACCAGGGCTGGAGGGATTTGTATGGGTGACTCTGGCAGGAGGCAGATCCCAAATGGAGAAATTCTCTGCTCCTCAGCCCCTTGTGCTTTCACCTGAGTGGCCCACACAGTTTTGGGGGAAAATGGTAATTTTTACTGTCATCTATACAGGCTTTGGGGCTCACTCATCATGCAAAAGGTGGGCCTCTCCTGTGCTGGGGAAAGGAGAGGGAGAACTCATTTTTGGAAATGTTCTTCATTAAAAAGCAGAAGTAGTAGTTTCTGCCATGCCTGAAGAATGCAAAGAAAATGCCCCTGAGACTCAAAAATTTTCCATCAGTGCTGCTTGTGAAGCTTTCTTCTGCTGTAATATTCCTAATTTCATCCCCAAAGACACAAATCAGCATTTTTCTACCAACAGCCTTAAAATACCCCAGGTTTTAGCAGAGCTTTAGGTAGAATCTTTAATTAAAGGCTAGGAAATGTGTCCAAATAGCTCAGCTCAACCTCCTAAGTGGTGACTATGCTCAGAAAATCTCAAGTTGGTGTCTAAAGCCCATCAGCCCCTCTCCCCCTGCCCTGCACTCAAGATCAGCTCCATGGGGTAACACAAGCAAGCACAGTTCCCTGCAGATGGGGAAATAAAGAACCAGCTCCTTGCAGCTTTTTTGGAGCTAAACTTTCAGATTGTGGTCAGTTTTGCAGTACCAGATGCAAAAAAGATCAGGAAGGAAAAATGTAAATACTTTTCATCTTCATTTTTCTACTGATATACCACACAACTATTCACAAGAAATAAAAAAAACCCCTGGAAATTATGGAATTTATGCTGCTTATTATTTATCTCATTTTAAAATGAACATTTTTAACATTAAACCACGACACTCAGATGCCCACTGTCACGTACAGCCAGGTCAGCCCAGACAGGGACTGGGAAGTGAGAGCTGGTCCACATCCATTCCCAAATTCCAACAGAAGCACCACTGAACTGAGCAAAAGCAACAGCATCACAGTGAGGGATAAAGAAAGTTCAAATCTTGCCTCCAAGCTGCTGTCACATGCATTTAAATTAATTACAGAAGGGATAAGCAGGCCATGTCATTTAATTTCAGGGAGGGAATTCTGTTTATTTTTTTCTGCTATGTCAGAGATGGTGTTGATCCATAAAGAAATTGGCTCCAAAGGATTTGTGAGTGGAAACTTATTGATTCCTGATGAAAGACAACCCCCAGGTACCCCTGACACCCCTTTCCTGGGAGCAGAGGTACCTCCTGCTCCTCCACCCTCTGGAATGTCTCCTAGCCAAACACAACTCAGCACTGGGAGATGAAGGAGGGTGCAAAAACTATAGGAATTTTCCTTTCAGTACTCAATACACAGCCTACAAACAGTGTTAAAATCCTCTGGGTATTCGAAAAAGCAGGAGAAATAGTGCCCATTCCCAGGGAATCACAATGATCTGCCCTCAGGCACAGGATGATACTGTACAGGTGATTTCTGTGTTCTCTGGGGGGAGAAATAACCCCACACTCTCCAGGGAGGGGGTGCAGGGCACAGCACACTGGGGTTTATTACAGCTACCAAGTCCTCTGACAGCCTTTTCCCTTTATGGATCTCAAAGAAGGAAAAGCAGGCCCAAAGCAGAGCTCACCTGGCATTATCCAGAGGGGGATCCAGCTCCTGCTCCCACCATCCCACCAGGACAAACAGAGGAGAGGGAGTCCTCTCAATCAGCACCCACAACCACACACCCACAATCAGCCAGCAAACCAAAAACCTCCGGAGCAGCTTCCACCGGCAGCCACTTGGTGCCAGCAGTGGATTCTGCATCTGCACCAGGCAAGGAGAGGGGACAGAATGCTGGCCAGGGTTCCTCCTGCAGGCCAGGACACCTGAGGTGCTGAAGAAATTAGCTTGAAATATAACAAGGCTTGAAAGAATTTTGATATTCATTCAGAACCAATGTGTTGTGAAAGGAAATCTGAGGTGTTTATGGAACTGGAGGGACAGGACAGGAGGGAATGGCTTCAGACTAAAATAAGGGAGGTTTAGATGGGATATTGGGAATTAGGAATTGTTCCCTGGGAGGGTGGGCAGGCCCTGGCACAGGGTGCCCAGAGCAGCTGTGGCTGCCCCTGGATCCCTGGCAGTGCCCAAGGCCAGGCTGGACAGGGTTTGGAGCACCCTGGGACAGCAGAAGGTGTCCCTGCCATGGCAGGGGTGGAATGAGATGAGCTTTAGGTCCTTTCCAACCCAAACCATTCTGGAATCCTGTGGGGGGAAGAAAGCAGCAGAAACGGGGTGCAGCCCTTGACTTCACCACCTTTGCTGGCCCAGTCCCTGTAGCCAGTCCAAACACACAGCAGGGTACTCCCTGACTTTTTTTTGTTATTTAAAAGATTACCCATAACCTTACGCACATGTTAAATAGCCCCAAACTCCCCCAAACCTGACAGGATGAGCACATTCCTGCTACTCTATAAGATGAAATTCCCAGATTTTTTCAAACAACACCACTCTCCTTCCTTGTGAGAGAAAAGCTTTCTCACATGAGGAGAGCAGAGGACAAAGAAGCAATTTCCCTGCTTCTACATCTCCTTAATTGCACAACTTTATGGAAAGGCAATACAAAGAGCCATCATAAAACAACAGACCCATAATATCTTTTCTTCCTTGCTTCATTGTTTTTTTCCTCCACTAACTCAATCCATCTTCCCCTGCAGGAAATCAAATCCCAGGCTCTGAGGAGCATCCAGCCCAAAGCAACTGAGAGACACCACCATGAGAAACATCCTGGTGGAGAAATAAAACCTGCTGCAAGTTCCTAGATGCAGACATTGGTTTCCTTTTATTTCTCCTTCTGCCAGCAAGGCTCACCAGTGGGAAATGAAGCATGTCCCATGGCCTCAGAAAAAGGCCAAGTTTGGGTACCACACACTTCTCAGGGGAAGGTTTCCCTTCCCAGCTGACT